GGGGGGGGGGGGGCCAAATTTGTCGCAATTTTTTTACTTTTTTAATTTTTCAATGATTCTATAATGTTTATCGATCCTATTGTCCTTTTCTTCCGCCTTCTTCTTCTTCTTCTTCTTATTCTTCTTCTTCTTCTTCTTCTTCTTCTTCTTCTTCTTCTTCTTCTTCTTATCCTACCTCATCTTCATCTTTTTTTGCTTCTATCCTTCCTTTCTTTTTATCTTCTTCTTCCGTTTCTTCGTCTTTTTTCTGCTATCCTCCTCTTTCTCCCTTTTCTGCTACCTCTTTCACTGCTACCTCTTCATCTTCTTCCTCATATTCTTTTCCTTTCTTATCCATGTTCCACCTACACTTCTTCTTCTCCTCCTCCACCTCCTTCTTATGCTTCTTCTGATGCCTCTTTCTTTTCTTTCTCTTCTTCTTCTTTTTCTTATCCTCTCAATGCAGCAAAAAAAAAAAAACAGTTGGGTTTAAAACCCAACTGGGTCATTTCCAAATATAGTGCCCCAATAATTAAGGTCACCAACTCAAATGTTGCTATACTATCCCATTTGCGATGCGGTACTGCCACAATTAATTAGAAATGCCCATATCGTCCAGAAAAATGGGGTAGTGCCACAATTTTAGGGGATTACCCCAGACACTTTTTTTGTGTTCATTAATCATTGAGGGGGGTGGGTAAGTATGTAAAATTTGCTGCAACTCTTATCGAATGAGCTTGATCGATGAACATCATTGTTGAAATAGGAATTCATCGAGAAATGTCATTGGAAAACGATTCAACAATCTACCAGCAGTAACTCTAAAAATATTAAGCCACGCGTGCTCACAGATCCACTGAATCAATTTTCTATTAGTCATTTGTCTCGTTTGGTAGAAAAATTTGAATAATATGGTTAGAAAAGATTTTAAATCACGAGAAGCACATACTTTCAATTCTTCCTCGCCATCATATGTTTGTAATAAATTATCAACTGACTTTTATTCTATGCCGTAGGTTTGAACGCTGGATCGAACTGGAGCTTGATTAACCAATTTGGCAGCAATCGAACGAACATCAATCGCAGGTGGATTGCGTGTCTTTCCTATTCCCAGCGGGTGTTTTCACAGCAGGAAACAGGGGCTTGGAGGTGGTCGAACATACCTTACGCAGGGCTAATTATCCGTTACTGAAGTGAATAAACAAGATCAGGACCTGTGAAACCTCCAGGCACTCGATAAGATTGGTTTTTATAGCACTTCGCGT